TTTTTTCAAGGAGAATGTAAAGATGTCCATTTCCAATTTAAAAATATATTAAAATCCTTATCCTTTTTGAAATGGACAAACGTGGGATGGATGGAGTGTTAGATTTTGAGAAAAATCGATGGCATATATGTGTATCTGTAAAGATGACTTTTTCTCCAGAGTAAGCTGCATCCTTCATTTAGGTGTTACTATCATGTAAAAAATATTCAATACTCCAAACCAACTGGTCAAATAGGGTGTATTTTCTTGTACTATGAGCTTTTATAACCAGAATGATTTCCACCTTATGTTTTACTTATTTCATTCATTCTCCGTGAGAAAAACACGTTTCTTTTTTATTTTTTTTCTCAGGTGAAGGACAGGCACAATGGGAACTTGTTAATGGATGAAGATGGCCACATTATACACATTGATTTTGGCTTCATGCTCTCTAACTCTCCTGGTGGTGTAAATTTTGAAAGCGCGCCTTTCAAACTAACCCGGGAACTTCTTGAGGTATGGTAGTCTATTTTATGTGCCAGTGTGTGTGTCCCAATTTTTGTTATTGTTCTGTAACTGGTTTTGGATTTTGATTATGGATCTTATTCCAGATCATGGATTCTGACGCTGAGGGAATTCCAAGCGAGTTCTTTGACTATTTTAAGGTAGTGATAACACTTTCTACTGTTTCAATCCAATTACACCATTTTGGCTCTTCAATCTCTTGTGATTGATTAACTTATCATTTGCCCTTCAAATGCAGGTTTTATGTATTCAAGGCTTCTTGACATGTCGTAAGCATGCAGAGCGTATTATTCTCCTTGTTGAGATGTTGCAGGTATAACTGACCTATCATTAACCTTCCAATGTTTTCTGTTGTTCTGGTCCTTTCTTTCATCTTTTTTTCCCCAGTATGTGGTTTTCATAAACATATGCATGGCATATGTTGTGTGACCATTTATGATCCTGATACATACATCATGAGACTGCTTTTGTCAAGACTGATCTTGGATTGCACATTTTAGGGCTTACTATGTATGTTAGATGGAAAAACTGAGATGAATAAATATGTGGGTGAGACTTGATGGCCCTTTGTGGATAAGAATGATCCTGGGCATGAGAATGTCCTGCTTTGTACAAGGTGGGCTGGTCGTTAATGTATGGCACTACTGGGGTCATGAGTAGGGATCAAAACCTTGTGGGACTGGTTAGGTTGGATATCTTGGGTTTTTGGACCTGTCCTTGCTTATCTGCTGTCTTATATACCCAGAATGTATCCTGGGCCTGGGCTATCGACATTCCCCTTCCTATTAGGTTTTTCATCAGCTTTCTCTTACTGTGGTCTTCTTTCCCGCGCTTGCCATTTGTTTGTACTCAGCGGCACTTGAGCTTGTTAGTTTCTTTCTGTAAACCTGCAAGTTTTCCTTGAAGTTTTGGTTCATAGTATAATTTTTTGGCAATTTCTCGATGATGTTCATGAAGCCTTTAGATCTTGTTTTGTTTCCCACAAAATAAAGTTGGTGAAGAAATGACAGCGTGCCATGGATTATTGTTGCAATATGTGAATTGTGGATTTGAAATTTTACCACTGTGATTTCTTTCTCTGATACGGAGTATTTTAGTCTGACTTATCAACCAAATCTGATCTGTTTCGACTTTAATAGCACTGGTTGTTAAAGCAAATAAAATCTGTTTGGGTTGCTCATCCCCAATATGCAACTGGGAATTTGGGCTGAGGAGTGATGCTTGAGAAGTGCCGAAGCTGATCTATGGTCGCAAAAGTTTGAAATAGGACAATTAATTTTCCTTGTTCTTAGTTATTTGATAGAGGGAGAAAGGGAGCTCATAATTTTCAATCCAACAAAATTATTTAATTTCTTCGGAGGGGTCTGGCTTTATGATTCTGGTGCTCTAATGTTAGCAATAACAATGCTTTGTTGACTGATGGACTTGTTTGCCTTTCCTTTTTCTGAATCAGGATTCTGGTTTCCCTTGCTTTAAAGGTGGTCCACGGACAATACAGAACCTAAGAAAGCGATACCATCTAAGTTTGACAGAAGAGGTGACATTGCAATTTTATATTCTTATCAGTCTGCACAGCATTTGAATGCTATGGTTGTCATGAGACAATGTGCTTCTTTCTTGCAGCAATGTGTGTCCTTGGTGCTCTCGCTGATCAGCAGCAGCTTAGATGCATGGCGGACACGGCAGTATGATTATTATCAAAGGGTTTTAAATGGAATATTGTGATGTTAGATTTGTTTGGTGACTGCCTTCTTTGCTCCCTTTGACCAAACCAGTCTGTCCAGTGAAGCATTTTGATTGGAGCTGTTTGTAACATGATCTCATATAATGGCAGTTGGTTCACTGCACTGGTTTTGGCAACTAGGCAGAATTGTGATGACAGTTTGTGACCTGTTTTCGCTTGGTGTGAGGAAATTGTAATATCGGCTGAAACACTTTTTAAAAGTCCTGCAGGCTGCATTTACCTCAGCAAGGTTTTCCTTTTCTCATCATTTCCCTTGTCATTTGTCATAGAATTCTGCTGGCTGCTGGGGAAATTTAGTTACACGACAAGGGAAATACTGCACTGTTTACCCATCTTCAGATAGGACATACTTGTACATAGTGCTTCATCTGGGGACAACGTTCCAGGCATGAAATGGTGTCTGAGGCTGTAATTGTTGGCTCACATCGCAGCTACTTCATATTCCACACTGGTTAGTGATCAGAAGCAGCTGAGCATTCCCGATTTTGTATCTATTCATATTTCGAAGTCTATTATTTTTTTCCGATCAAAGTTTGAACAGACTGTATATTGGATAGGCGACCCTGTCAGTCAGTAACTGTTCTCCGTTTGATGTCTATTCTTCCAAGAGTATGATTCTTCCATGCTTTCTACCAAAGGCTTGCTAGTAACTTTCTTGATAAAGGGTATATGAATACAACCTCTTAGATTAGATCCCATTTGCTCTCAACAGTTAGAAAATTTGTTCATTTGATATTCCTGTTGTATATCAGAGTTTTGGTGGCTTTGAATTTGGATTCCAGGCTGTGTTTTTCTTGATTAAAATTTTGATGTTTGCTAGGTCTTTTGAGCAATATTTGATTTTTTTTCTCCTTCCCTTCTCTGTCTAATAGTTTTTTAAAGTAGGAGATTTGATCTTGGACACTTCCAACTCTAAGTCGTCTAGTATGGACATAAAGTCTCATTGACTAGTTCATCTCTCGTAATGGTTGGTTCAAGCATGGGGCAGTTCATGCAATTTACGCTTTTACTTGGTGGAATGGAAGATGTGGGGGAAATTGACATTAAAGAAGTTTATTTAACATTCATAAATTTATTTGTTCTTCTGAATATCATTTCATTTTTTATTCAAGAGAATATTCTATGTAGTGCTTATCCTTTTGATATTACGTGATTCAATTTTCGACTGTGATGTCTTGTCTCCATAACCAGATTGGCTTTCCTCTCTTTGAAAGGCTTGTCAAGTTTTGTGGCAGTAGCTGGGGGTGGTGATCCTTTGCCTTAAATAAGGTCTTCTTCTGTAAAAGCTTTCCTCATCCCCTTTTGTCGTTGCTAATTTTCTATTTCTTCGTGGACACGATTTTAACCTATCATTATTCTGTGTTTTAAAAATATTTAAAAAAATTAAGATTTTTTTGTTTCAAATTATTAGTTTTTTAATGATTTAAAATTATTCTGTTTTCAAGAATAAATTTTAAAAAACATAAAAATATTATTACAATTTATTTTCAAATAAAAAGTATTTTGAATTATAATTACAACTAAACTTCTAAACATCTATTTAGGCTTAAGTTCTATTGTGCTTGGATTCCTGAAGTGAATTTTGGCTGAAATGAATTTTTTTATTTAAAATTTATATATATATATATATATATATATATATATGTTTTCAATCATTTTAATATATTCATATCAAAAATAAATTTTAAAAAATAAAAATATATTATTTAAATATACTTCTAAATCACAAAACATTTTAAAAAGTAATTTTTTTTAATGATGATATTGTTTATTACTTGAGCAAGCAAGAGCCAGACTTTTTTTTTTCTTGATATAAGTTGAAGGAATGAAATATGAACATAAATGTTTTTTTTAAAAAAAGGAATTAGAAGAAACCACAAGAATTTCTACTGAACAATCTTTTGCCAATTGATAAGTATTTGGAAAATCAAAATTAATGATCTGCAACAAGTGTTTAGTTGTGAAAACAAGAACAATTAAAAAGAAATTAATATCACCTATACATGGTGATTTAAGAGACTTCCATACATAAAGCAATATAATTTTTTAAGATTTTATATCAATGATGTATCAATATTAGGTTATAACATAACACACCCAACATAAGAAAAAAACAATACAAAAGCACATTCCAAGAACTAATCATATTTGGAAACAATTCTTCCCAAAACATTCACTCGATAATATTTTGAAATTTATGAATGCAACGGTGTAAATGTTTTCTTTTTATACACACACGCACAGATGAATGGATTAAGGCCTGATTGTAATGTGATAATTTTGATATACAAAAACTACTAATTTAATAACACTTCACCCTTAAAATGAAAATAAAAACAAAAACATAATTTATAAAAATTCTCTTTTTAAAAAAATACTAGTGTGAACAGGAAAATTCTAACAGTGCATTTATTATGATTATAATTATTTTTTAAAATGTTTTTTTATTCAGAAATGTATTAAAATAATATATTTTTTATTTTTTTAAAATTATTTTTTATTAAAAATACTAAAAAATATTAATTTAAAATAAAAACTAAAAAAATTTTTTTTTTTTTAAAACACAAAAATAAACAAAATATTACCCGACCAATCATCACGGCACAGCCACCATCCGCAAAGGGTCCAACAGGGTAAACAACCTCGTCATTTCCTAAAAATACATCGTTCCAGCTCTAAATGAAATAAAACAAAAATAAAAGAGAGTCAAAATCAATGAGGCAATCCAACCAATCAAAACACAAGGATTCTTGATCACGCCGATAACTAATTTATTTTAGTAACCAAACACACTCTTTCTATGCTAACCTCCTTTCTATATAAATTAACCCGACCCATCTAGGCCTCTTCCACTTACTTTTACGCGCATTGATTAACTGGGCACTGCAGATTTCAGCGTCTCTCTCTCTCTCTCCCTCGCTCTTGATCACAGCCTCCCCTCTCCCCGGGTACCATTTCTAGGGTTTCTTCTTTCTGTATTTACTTCACTTGTTCTGGGTTTTATTTTTGGGATTTCTCTCTAGGGTTTGTGGGTTTTTTTTGCTGTTTAATGGTTTTGAGCTGGTTGATTGAGATTTTTATCTGGGGTGTGCGATTTATGGTTTTTTTTTGTGGGTTTTTTATTTATTGAGGAATTGAGATTGTTTAGGTGGTAAATGTTGTGTTTTTATGTGATCAGTTAGTTTTGTGTTTTTTTATTTGTTTTCGTTTAGGGTTTGTTTTTGAAATCATCGTCTTGGTTTGGCGATTTAGTGTTCTATTTTTTATGGGTTTTTGTTGTATTTGAGTTGTTGTGGATCCATAGGAGTTGAAGATTGTGTTTTTCCAAAATGGGTTTGTCTTTTTGTTGTTGTTGTGTATATGGGTGATTTTGCTGTTAAAGTTTTGATTTGTGTTGGGTTTTATCTTGATCGAGCTGAGATTGTGTTTTTTTCAGTTGATATTGATTGTTATTTACGAGATTGTGTGATTTAGGTTTTTATTTTTTTTGATCGGTTTTATTATGTATATTTAAATACTGTCCTTGTGAAGTGATTAAGGTTATTTTTTTCTAAACTGGATGTCGCAATGTATTGAGTTTGAGCTGATTTTCTTGCTGTTTATTCTTTTCTTGATTGCAATTTTTTGGTCCTTTGAGTGTGTGGTATTTGGCTTGTGACTTGATTGTTTTGCGTGCCTTTGTTTTCTGGCTTGTCTTGGTTTGATATTATTTTTTGTTACTTCTACTTAGTTTTATTGGACCAGTGTGGCTAATAGAATGTCTGAATCAGGAATTATACTGCACACCCAATGTCTTTTGATCTCTACGAGACACAAGCGTCATTACTTTGGTGTGGTTTTGGGTTTATGACCCAGGGGAGGCCGTGGTGTTCGTGGAAGTTCATATTTAGGCACTGGACCTGACCCTTCACTTCTCTGTTTTTCTTTTGACACAAGAGTGTCATCCTTGCTGCTTTCAATATTTAGATTCATTGTTTGTGCAAAAGACAAAAAGTACTAGTGTATTAGATTTGGCTACCAACCTGGTAACAGTGCTTCGTAGAACATTTTTCTAGCTGCTTTTGAAGGATCACACGGTGTATCGTGATTTGGTTTTTCTTTCGTTGACGCTCTGTTGGATTTTCTCAATGGGGAGAAATAGTTCGTTGCCTCCTGGCTTTAGGTTCCATCCAACTGATGTGGAACTGGTAAAATACTATCTGAAAAGAAAAGTGCTGGGGAAGAAATTTCATTTTCAAGCAATTGCAGAGATTGAGATTAACAAATATGCCCCATGGGATCTTCCCAATAAATCTTGTTTGAGAACTAGGGATCTAAAATGGTTCTTCTTTTGCCCTACAGAAAAGAAGTATGCAAGTGGGGTAAGAAAGAAGCGTGCCACTGATATTGGTTATTGGAAAACCACTGGCAAAGACAGATCTGTTCAGTACAAAAATGAAGTTGTTGGGATGATAAAAACTTTGGTTTTTCATATTGGCAAGGCACCTAAAGGGGACCGAACAGACTGGGTTATGTATGAATATAGACTTGAAGAAAAAGAGTTGACTGACAAAGGAATTGCTCAAGATGAGTATGTCCTCTGTGTGATATTCAAGAAGGATGGACCTGGTCCAAAAAATGGTGCGCAGTATGGAGCACCTTTTGATGAGGATGAATGGGATGATGGTGATGATGAGGTGGAGAAGGAAGTGAATGCCCAGCCAGCTATTTTACCTGCTCTCATGGATGCACCTGCATTTATGCTGCCAAACAATCCAAACATGTCCATTGCTACAAGCTCATGTGTGCCAGAGAGCACGTGCACTGGACCGCTTATATCATGCCCTTCCCGAGCCCCATCAACAGCTTGCACTACCCTTCCTAGGGTTTCTAATGATGATGTTGCTTCTACAGAAGCTCTTCAGGTTGTACATGGGGGTGTGAATGGTGGTGAAGCTGATTCTTCTGACATGCCAGCTTTTCAACAACCATGTAACCCCAACAGTTTCATCCTTGCTAGCTCTAGCTCATATGTACCGGAAAATACATGCTCTGCTTACATTCCTAGCGTGGGTGCTACTCAAGTGGAAGCTCCTCAAATTGTGGATGAAAATGATGATATCCTTTCATTGCTGGCTATGTTTGACAATGACAATACTAAGGTCTGTTTATCTGTCCTTTTAACTCAACGTATATAATTATTTACTCAGCTTTTGGCTGTGTGCTAAAAACAGTGGCAGTTGGAAAATTGACTTGTGTGAATAGGTCTTATGGATCTATTTCGTATTGTCTATTCTAATTAGTTCTTGGGACTTCATTAATTATGTGATTAAACCTATTGTTTCTAGGTTTTGCTTTGTGTAGTTATGAAGGCATTGTTAATCATTTGTTAAATTTTCTTGATTGTTATAATGTATTACATGGCAGGATTTTTTTCCCCCAAAATTTTCTTTTGACTTGCTTCTTAGGTTGGGTATGTGTATGTTTGCTGTTTGCTGTTTGCTGTTTCATGGCCGCTTAGTTTCTAAAATCTGTTATCTCTTGCCTTCTCTTTTCTTTTCTGCTAAGAATTTAAGTTTTTTTGTTTGCAATTTTATTGAAATTGTTATCTAATAACTTAATTGAAATTTGATTTGGATTCAGAGTGTGGACTTTGGTGGGATTGCAGAGCCAGAGACTGATATATTTCAGAACTTGGGAGACCTTGCCACTCCGGAAGGTGGTGGGGATGGTATCCCCATCTCACAATATTTCATGGATCCGATGCTTCCAGGTGGCAATGCGGACTTTTTGGAGCTGATGGATCTAGACACCCCGCTCCATCGTAGTTGGGGGAAATAAATGTAATTCCTGCACTTTTTTATTTTTAAAAAATAATCATAAATTGTTTACGGGCTTTGATAGAGATTTAATCCAGTGATTCATACTTGTATAGTGTGAATTGGTTTTAAATCAATCTGTACTTGAAACTTGTTTCGAACTTGGTCAGTTCTGATATGATGAAATCCAAGAACTACTTTTCATTAGAAGTTTTGATGTCAAGTTAACAATAGCCTTGTTATTTTTCAGCAAGCTGTTTTGAATGATTTCTGCATGGCTAAATTTTAGTTTTTATAATCTGGTATTGTCAATAAAATGAACAGTGTCTACCATCTACACTGAAGCCGAGTTGCCCTAATACTATATGGATGTATATGCTGAACCCTGACCAATAGTTAAAAATATAAAGACAAGGCGAGCCTGTATATCTGATACATATAAGGTGGTGTCTGTCGAGGGTGAAGGACGAAGCTGATTTGTCATGAGAAATAGTCCTTGTATAAAGGCCAAGGATTCCCTATTTCATCACACAATGATTTTGAATCACCCTGTAACTAATCGACCCCGATCTCGTATATCATGAAGGGATTTGTTTTATATAGTTTTAGATTTGGATTAATTACATTCGCAGTGCTTGAAATTTATTGATAGTATCAATCAAGCGCATCATCTCATATTTAACTGTTAATATCTGGTCCCTGGCAAGATTCTTGCTGAAACACGGTCCCTTGCAAGTTTCGTTGATTTCATAGGTAGAACATATTGGAATAGTTACATAGCCTCGATCTTGTTCAGCCTATATCAGCGTGATCGCTCGATGCTAATCAAAATCGATCTAGCTATGTATCTCATCCACAATGTCACCAGTTCTGCACTCATCTATGATGCTTTTTACACCCCCAGTATATAACGAAATGGGTAAAAAAATAGAAGCAATAGCTACCCTATAGGTTCTTATTTGAACAATGTGACCGAAGCGCGAGGGTTCCGAGCATTGTTGTCACTGCAATCAGGGAAAGCAAGCACTTCTCAGAAGCCCAACAAATTCAGATACGTGTTTGTGCTCTATGCCTCATGCTGTAATTTCCCATACAAGTCGAAGCATCCCTTTGTTCAGCCTCTTATCCTGGGAAGAGAAGGAATAAGGAAAAGCATGTGAATGTCCATCGTCACACCTATCTTGTTCCCTATTCTTGCTTCTTCCTTGACTGATTTCGTGTGAGAATGGCCTGCAAACATTGATCCAAAACATGCATAACTTAATTAGCTATTTAATTAATTATGACCTTCCACTGCAACATAAAGCATGAGCAGATAGACTGTGAATTAAAAGTTGAGGGGGAATCCATCAGATAAACTAAGCATGACCTTCATTAAATGCTATCATCTCAATTAAAACCCAACATAAACCAAACTATTTACCTGATCTGACTTGACACCAAATTCTACTGCACAAAAAACTAAAGAAGCTTAGTTGATTGATTTAATGAAGCATTTCACCTGGAGTGTGAGAATGGATTGGTATTGTAGAGTTCTTAAGGACCAATTTCTATCCAAACTAATATAACAAGATTGACTAGCTTGCTTTTGGAATTGATTCCTAACTACTTGCTTGGTTTCCCAAATTAATCTATGGAAGACCCTATGCTTGCACACTGCTGGATAAATAAAGCACGGATGTCCTTTCAAAATGACAAGGTTTTGTCATTCAAAATATCTGACATAATACCACTGGCTTGCTGATGATAAAAAAACAGGAGTTTTACTACCCAGAGATGATAGCTATATCTGCAACAATCTATTGATAAGCATTGGTCTTCCTAATGATAAAAACAGATGATTGATGCTTCAAATGCATACATATTGTGAAGTTGTAGAAGTTAATTTAGCAATTAACCAAGATTTTATCATTATATCTTTACACATTTTTATAAAATAAATATTAAGTAAAAAAAAAAACTTATAAGTCTAATTTTCTCAAAGTGTGTGGAGCGGGCATGCACCGACACACAACATGCCTAATAGAGGCATGCTAAGTCTGGCCAAAGCCAAACCCAGCCACGATTGAGTATGGTGGTGTGCTAAGTTCCAAGCATGCTGAGTCTTGTTAGTACCAAACCTAATAGTTGGTAAGTCTAGCATTGGTTAGACCTAAAAGCAATTAGGTCTAGCCATTGCTAAACCTATAGAACTGGTATGCGCAAGCACAAATACATCTTAGTAGAGGCGCGTTGAATATAGCCAAAACCAAACCTAAAAGCTGATTGGATCTAACTAGCGTTAGACCTAGCACCACCAAGCCATGGACGTGTTGGATCTAGCTAATATCAGACCCAATAATGATTGGGTTTGGTAGTATGCTAAGTCCATGCGTATTTGGTATTGTACTAGTCAAACCTAGCTATGATTGAATTTGGTAATGTATCAAACTCCAAACACGTTAGGTCTAGTTAATATCAGACCTAAATTTTACTAGATTTGGCACTAGCCAAACTCATATATTACTGGGTATGGTGTTGACCAGACCAAATTGCTTTTGTGTATGACCAACGCTAAACCCAGTGTTTAGGTCTGGCAGATTATCGTCAAGCTCAGGTATAACCTGGGTGTGATGCCAGCTAGACGCTTGCACCATATAGGTTTGGTGCCGGCAAAATCTATTTCTTGGTTCTAGCAGGTGTTGCCAAGCCTAGTAGCCTAGTCTAATGTGCTGCTAGGCTAATGGGGTGGATCTGCGTGTGTTTCCTGAAAGTATCGAGCCTAAAGATTTTTATTATCATAGCCCAGGTATGACTAAACTTGCTACACCCATTGATTCAAATATAATACATGGATTTAACGTCATCAATTCTATAGATTTTTACATAAAATCTTAGAGAATTTATTTCTCAATAAATAAACTTAATTAAACAAGTTTGCACTCCACCAATATTGTTAAGTATATTAAAAATTTTCGTGACTCGTCATGTCTTAATATTTTTGCTTCATAAAATGAGTGAAATACAAATCACAATACATCATAAAATATTACAAAAATAAAATTACATTTCAATCCATCCTCTTCACAAAAGAACAAGACTCATGAGCTATAAATACACCATGAAACCTTCAGAACAAATATCTATAATCTTCATTCTCTATTACACACATATATATATTCAGAGATTTTTTCTGGAATATTCTAATATTTTTTATTAAAAAATACTTATTTTAGTATAAGAGTCATCACCTTCATCAAAAGGTACCTTTTACAAGTACTTATTATAAATAATTTTGGTCTACCCACCATTATATATAAGTTATCAAATATCTTAATTTAAAAAATAAATAAAATTATTAAGATAAATTAATTAACTAATTATCTAGCATGAAAACTATATCCCTAATTTTTTAAATTTCATCGCGTAGTGTGAAATTATGGAAACGGGTAGCTCGTTTCTATTTTTGTTAACGTATCATGAGAGTTTGAGTGGTGGAATATTTTGTACCGTTGAGAACTTCATTCATTTTGAATGGTCGATGCTTATTTATCCTATTTAAATGACTTCAGTAGTATTATTATAACCCTCCATGTGATTCTTTCGAAAATGAATAATTTGTGATGTGTTCTATTAATATTTTATAATATTAAACTATTAAAGTGTTGTTAGTTTTCGTTTATAATAAATTCCATTATTGTTGTATGATATTATACTATTAAATATATTATTACTATATTTAATCAATAATAATGTTAAAAATATATGAATTATTATGTTTTTAAAAAATCTAATATGCTCATACTTTATTTAACACTTGTTATAAATGTTATTTGTGATCGTGATTGTAAGAGTATTTTGACAACAAAAATTGTAATTTAAAATTAGTAATACTTTAAAAAAATCAATCAATTTGAAAATAAGATTTATATATTGAATAATTGATTAATTTTTTTATTTTGATAATTTAATTCATTTTTTTTAACTAAAATGATTAATGGTCATGCTTATTACGTGTAAAAAGTTCTTTTTGATAAATTTAAGAATTCTTATATACTTAAAAAATATTTTAAAAAAATAATGATATTTAAAAAAAATACTATATATATATATATATATATAGGGGGTAGAGAAAGAGAAAGAGGCACTAATAATAAAAAATAAAAATCGTGAACCTCCTCACTTTATAGCTTATAATTCTAACTTTTTTTTAATAAAGAGTATTAAAAAGCCCTCTCCTTCTTCTTTTATAATGTTAAAACCTCTATGTTAAAAAAGAAAAAAAAAATTTCACTTAGGATTGTTTGGGATTGTGATAGCAGTTGCAGTTCAAATTATTTTTTACTTAAAAATGCGTCCAGATGATTTTTTTATTTTTAAAAAATTATTTTTTATATTTAAGCTAAAAAAATAAAAACACAGATTGGATTGTGTTCCCAAACATACTCTTATTTGAAAAAAAAATTAACTTATCAGGAAAAAAAATCTCTAACTCATCAAAGTCTCATAATCCAAGTTAACATAGAGTCATATACATGTATTTGGGTTTAGTATTTTGTTGAGCTCGGAAATATTGAGTCTAACTGCATATTAAACCCATATATATTTAAACTTAATATTTAATTGAGTTCAAAAATATTAAATATAACAAGTTATTAGATTTATATAAGTTTATGCTAAAGCTTAGTTAAATCTAAAGAACTTATCATCATCCCTCTAGTTTCTTTAAAGAAAAAGATTTAAATAAAAAAATTCTAGTGCATAAAAAACAATTAAATCAGAACCATTCAATAAGTTCAAACATCCAATGATTCCACTTGAATTTTTTTGCAAGAACGCAGAGAGGGAATTCAAACTTTACAAGTACGGTGTTAAGAACGAAAGGCTGGCCTTGTTTAGAAGATTATCTCTTGTATTGAGAGATAATTCCTCGTTAGGCCAAACCTCTCTTTTCAAAATATTTTGTATTTTCCTTGTATATTGTAATCCCCTCTCCTGAAAGTCTTCCGCAGAAAATCAATTTGTAGGTTCAATATCAATATTCTTAACAAGTAAATATATTATATCTCAATGTTTTAAAATTTAAATCTTGCACTTAGTTTATTCCATATTGTCTTCTATCATTCAATTTGCTTGTCATGCCAAGGCTTTGGCTAAAAACATACAAAAGACAAATTGTCTGGAGAATTTCCATAAATTTCTAGTTCTTCATTGATTCTCTCTACGAATTTTTTTGATAAGTTG